CCGGTTCTTCAAATGATTAAGATAAGTATATTGCAAAATGTTTTTTGCTTGACTCATTAATGGAAGAATTACCGTTTATTCATTTAAACGAAGAACACTTTCGTTTGGCTATGTTTGAGCAGTTAAATGAGCGTATACGTTACGATCCCGATAGGTTAGCTAGCCTCAGGTTTAAACCTTTATTAATTTATCTGAAACCTATAAAAAATTTAGCCTTTGTAGCCATCATGATCCTGATGCTAATTTCTTCTCGGAGTTAGTTGACTGCGAATATTACACCGAAGAAACCTTCAATGAAATGTTACATCAGAAAAATATATTAGAAGTCAATAACTGTTTATCGCTTCTGTATCTAAATATTCGTAGCCTTCATCGTAATTTGGATAGCTTAACCACTTTGCTAAAGAATCTAGAGTTGAGGTTCTCTTTTATTGGTATAACTGAGACCTAGCTTCGAGACTCATCGCATCATACCGATATTTCAGGTTATAATTGTCACCGATATTTGAGGTTATAATTTTTTCCACAATCGGCACCTAAAGATAGGACAGGTGGAGGCAGGTGACAGGTGGAGGTGTAGGTCTATATTTACCGGACAATTTTGATTTTAAATGTCGACCTGACTTAGTTTTTTCTTGCACTGATTGTGCTGAGTCTTTGTTTGTGGAAATCAATACAGTAAAAACCCGCGAGTAAGAACCTGAAAATTAAGAACCTGTTAGCCTAAAATTTGCCATTTATAACCCCTATAAACAAGAACCTGTTTAGCCTAGAAAATGAAAAACAGGTTCTTATTTTTTAAAGTCATATTAGTGAAATGCAGCTGCAAAGCTGTGCAAGAATCCTGTTTGGAGAATTAGGAGCTTGGTATTGCTGTGCAAATAAAAGTGCTAATTTATTGATGTAAAAAAAAATAAAGTGCAAGAGGTTAATATTGTTGTATCACATTTTGAAATTGAAAAACACGCAGATTACCATCTCGTTTTGTAGCTTGTTTGTTTGTTGTTTTTTTTTTTTTTACAGAAATAACAACCTATTTAAGAACCTAAATAGCCTAAAATTGTGTTAACCACTATTTAAATAAGAACCTGTTTAGGCTAAATCCAGAAAATGTAGGTTCTTACTCACGGGTTTTTACTGTAGGCCGAAAGAGAAAAATATAATTGTAGGTGTGGTTTACAGGCCACCGGATCAAAATTTGCAAGATTTTATGAATAGCCTGGATTCGTTGCTTACAAGTATCTCTAAGGAAAACAAGATTTGCTATGTTTTAGGTGACTGGAATCTAGACTTACACCATTGTCACGACACAACTGGAGAATTGTTAGAAACTATGTATTCAAGAATGTTTTTTTCCATTGATCACACGTCCGACAAGAATAACTTCTAACACGGCTACGCTAATTGTTAATATTTTCGCGAATAATTTAAACAACTTTTCTGTTAGCGGGCTATTGTTTTGTGATATATCGGATCATCTTCCGAATTTTCACACTGCTTCTTGATCAAAACAAGAACTTAAATAAAACTTCTTGGGTTTCTTTTCGTGACAAAAGTGGAAATAATGTCGCTAAGTTTAAAGATAGGCTTTCAAACGTTCATTGGGATGAATTATCTGAATGTATTAAGATACTGATTGCGCTTATCGGTGTTTTCTCGATAAATACACTACCATTTACAATGACTGCTTTCCTCTCAAAAAAGTGAAAGTAAAGAATGTTACTTTGAGCAAACCATGGAGAACTAAGGTCTTCTTAAATCGGTAAGAAAAAAGACTTTATTATACAAGCGTTTCCTTGCCCACCCAACTTCATACCGTGAGAAACTTTACAAGAGTTATAAAAACAAATTGACACATTCCCTTCGCGTTGCTAAACGTCTCTACTACAAAAAAAAGTTAAATGAATATATATCAAATGCAACATCAGCTTGGAAATTACTTAACGATCTTATTAACAAGAAGAAAATTAAATGTAAGTTGCCTTCCATCTTCACATCTAATGAAGAAGAAATATTTAATCCTACTCATATAGCAAACCGTTTTTGCGAGTACTTTACGAATATTGGACCTAACTTAGCTAAATCAATTCCGGCGTCTGACAAATCTCATCGTTCTTTTCTGAATGGAGGCTTTATTAATTCATTTTTTCTTCAATCGGCATCAGAACAAGAAGTCACTGAGATTTGTAGCAGCTTTCGATGCAGTACTGCTCCAGGATATGATAGTATTTCACTGAATGTTGTTAAAGAGTCTTTTAAGTTAATTTGCGCACCATTGACGTATATAATTAACTTGTCTCTTAATTCTGGAGTTGTACCCCAAGAAATGAAAATTGCACGAGTTATTCCATTGTTTAAATCTGGTGATAAATCTTTGTTCACAAATTACAGCCCCGTATCAGTGTTACAAGTTTTCTCTAAATTCCTAGAGAGAATCGTCTTTTATCGCCTTGTTAATTTTCTAAATAAACATGATGTTCTTTCCCGGAATCAGTATGGATTCAGAAAAAATTATTCTACTGCACATGCTTTAATCCAATTGTATGACAAGATCTCAAATGCACTTGATAATAAAATGGTAACTTTAGGCCTATTCATTGACCTATCTGAGGCCTTTGATACAGTAAATCATGAAATTTTGCTCGAGAAATTGGAACATTATGGAGTACGTGGTACGTGGTTTAAAAGTTATCTTTCTTGTCGAAAACAATTTGTGCAATATAATGGTTACAACTCTTCATCATTAGATATCACTTGCGGAGTCCCTCAGGTATCTATCGTAGGTTCCCTGTTATTCTTAGTATATATAAATGATCTATGCAATGTGTTAAGAATGTTAAGAAATCTAATTTTATCATATTCAGACCGAGACAAAACAGGCAAACACTTGATCTAGCTTTTAATATTAGTAATTATTCGATTGATCGTGTTAAGGAAGCTACTTTTCTTGGTGTAATTTTGGATGGATTTAACATGGAAATCACATATACATAATGTTGCTCGGAAAGTGTCCATAGCCATATAATTTATAAATCAGGTTTTTGCCTTAATAATTCCTCCTTACGGATGCTTTATTTTAGCCTTATCTACCCATACTTATTCTACTGCGTGAGCGTCTGGGCATCGACCTACCCATCAAACCTCAGAAGATTAATCACACTTCAAAAACGGGTCGTAAGAATAATGTCGAGGAGTGCTTTCGGTGCTCACACTGACCCCAAATTTAAAAATTTAAAAATTCTGAATCTTGAGAGTATCTACAAACTTCAAATAGGAAAATTTATGTATCAATACAGATCTGGCTTACTTCCTTATAGCTTCAATAACATGTTTTTGGTGACACGCCTGGTGCATTCTTATGGCACTAGAAGTTCGGAGCTTTTTTATTTACCACAATGCAAGACTAATATAAGAAAGTTCTCCATCAGTTTCCAAGGTCCTAAATTTTTTAACTCTCTTAGTTTTGAAAATCGAAATGCAACAAGTACCGCTTCCTTTTGCTGTAAGCTGAAAGCATTCCTCTTATCATAAATAGTAATTTATATATATATATATATATATATTATTTTTTTACCTTTGCTCTTTTATTTCCATTTTTTTTTCTTTTTGTCATTTCGCTTTTCTTAGCCTAGAACTATGATTAGTACGACTATCTAATATATTTATTTTAAGATTTACTGTAGCTCTGCCATTGATTTTCCCATGTGTAATTCTGATAATATTTTGTTCTAATTATCTAACTGAGGGAGCCCATTCCTTATAAGCCCGGTGGCTTCTCTTGGGCTTCCTCGCCATGAGAGTTTAAATAATTATTTTTTTTTTGCTTTGTACAACTTATGGCAAACAAAACAATAAACAATAAACGAACAACTTCTGTGCGCTCGTGTCACGGCGTTTTCACAGACCAGTTTAGTTTTAGAATGGTTTTGCCTCGAATTTTGAATATCATTTAAATTCCACAAACCAGTCAGCAAAACCTACAGACCTAAAAATGCTATTTTGTGCCTTTTAATAACGTTTAGGTTTCCTTTTTGATATTTTTTACTTCAATTGCGCTCGTAGACATGGTGGAGATTCTATTTTCGCGGGAAAAAGTGCCCTAAAATATGTCTAAAAATAAAATGGTCCGTAAAAATGCTGTGAAATAGGCTAAGTATGGGAGTTGGTCGCTACGGGTTATGGGCTCCTGATGTCGGTAATAATTCTGGGGGAAAATAGAGTAAAGGAAAAAGGGTTCTGTCTCTCTAGTGTTTCTAAGCCTGGTTTCCATATAATTGTCCTTATCGACCCTACCGCCCGCATCGTGTTACTTTAGCCAGCAAGCAAGCTGCCAGAGTTTGCTCTTTGGCTATGTCGTCTTCAAATGTCTTTGTGGCTGAGACGATCATATGGAAAAACCTGATGCGATGCAGGACAATCCGGACGATTGGGACGCGCGATCAATTTGGATGGAGCTGAGGTTTCATGTAATCCTCCTTGTCTCCATCGTCGCAAACGTCCAAAGACAATTATTCTAGGGGGGTACTCCGGACTTCAAGTGACAGGGATGATGGAAGGATTTTTTGGGGTTTGAAATTTTCGATTCCTGAATTTTTTGGGGTATGAAAATTTCACAAGTATTTTTGTTTGGGTGGCTTGATGGGATTTTTTTGGGTAATCAAAACAATCTGAAGATTCGTGGGGGTGCTCGCGTATTCCGACGGCGTAGTTCTATTACATGATGTTGTTATTTTTCGTGTTATATCATTTAACCCTTTCTGGAAATTTTAAAGGCCCCGAAATTCGGCACTGGAATTTTTTGGGGGATTAATTTTTTGATGGAAGCCCTAGGGATTTTTTCCAATGCTTGATTTTTGCCCCCATTCGATCATCCCCGTCACCTGAAATTCGGAGTACCCAACTGGTACAATTATACTGAAATCAGGTTTTAGGGCTGTATCTGATAACGTCTATAATGGTGTGTACACTATTTCAACTGGAGGTAAGCACACATGAAAAAGTTACAAATCAGAAAATGGTGCGAGAATAAGTTCTCGGGGTTTATGCCTATAGGACAGCTTCAAATAATTATCAATTCTTTGCCCTTGGAAAAGACCAAAGTGACTCTTCTCAGCCGATTTCATACAATGACGGTGAACAATCTGAAGGATTTTGCAAGGATTCTTAAATTTAAACCCTTCATATTCTCTTAGGTAGAACATTAAAACCTGCTCAATCCCATAAAGGTTTCCTCTATAGTCAATCTTGTTTAGTACTTCACTGCTGACTGGTTTAAGTAGCCTAAACAGAAGAGCGTCATGAGAACCTACGTAACGTGAATTCGGATCACAAGTACCTTCGTTTGCTTCGTGAGGGCAGAGAGAACCGTTTCCTCGCATCGCATGCCTTGTTAAAAAATACATTGTTTTATTGCTTAAAATTGTCTCATTCAGATGCTCGAATCCTTGATGAACATAGATGTCTGCATGAAGGATCATTACGTTTTTGTGAAGTAGATGATTCGAGGCAAAGCCTATTGCATCTTTGTATGTCCAAAACCGACCCAAGGGATGGAAGACAAGTTTGCTGTCACCAACCAAGTTCAGAGCCTTAACGAAAGTGGAGTCCTGATCATGCTCAAAGAAGATGTAAACTTTATGGACCTAGAAAAGAAACATGTTTGATGTAAAATCAAATCAGTTTTAAACTTGAGTTTTTTACATTTATGACTTGCAATCCTACGAGAGAACAATAGAACAAACATTGCCTCTACCTATTAGCACAAAAGCAACAACTACTTCAAGAGCAAGGAAAATCACAGTCGTAGAGGACCTGTTTCAAATAAAACAAAGGCATTCTCTACGCTAAAGCAGTTTCGAAAGACGTCTTCGTGTTAACAAAAGCACGTGGGAAGCTCTGAGTTCTTACTAGGGACTTTAAGGTCCAGCCGCAAGACGGCAACGAGGAACGTAGCCAACAAAAGGTGAATTTGCGTTCATTCAGTCTTTATGGCGATTATTCGTACCCACTTACTTTTTGAAATGTAGGCTAACTTTCCTGGAATTGTATTCCTAGGGACTATATCCACGTTCAGAAAGAGAAATAGAAGTTCGTCGTTGCTTGTTAGTCTCGCTTGCTTGAGCAGAGCGAGACTCTTAAAATGCAGTCGTTTTTTTTTCAGTGGGACCTAGTTTGTAGGCCCCGCGTTCTTAGCGAAGACCGTGGAAACTGGGGATAAGAATCGTGACGACTTTCATCGTATGGAAATGAGTCTCGTGATGAGAATGCAGTTTATTTCGGCTATGACTGAAATGACGCATGTAAGTTTGGCAATGACGTAATTTTCCTCGAATGGAGGCCCTTGATTTTCGTGTAATTATGCACGACATGCAGGCACATCCCCAAGTAGGATGAGAAAATATTATAGCGGGGAAATCCTCAGGATTTTGTGGCTTTTTAAGGCGTTACGTTTCTCAGAATATTGTCGCAATTACAGGAAATGTACGGTTAAATAGATTCACTTTGTTTTATGTATTTAATTGATAGATTTTCGCAGTTGTTACGATGTGAAGTCGTCTTGCACTTCCTAAATACTTGAGATATGAAGTATCCACTGTCACGTAATTTTTACGTGCGCACGTGCGTAAAATTTGCGTTCGCAATTAAAATAAAGGCAATGTATGAAAGGCTGCACGTACAATTATGTAAGCGTAAAAGTAGAAACTCGCTTAGTTTTCCGAGAGTTAAAAATATCACAAAACGCCAACATCAACTTTGACAGTTTTCTTGTTTTCTCATTTTGACGCTTCAGTGGAAAAAGTAAGTAAAGTCGAAACATGCCAAAAAAGTCGAACAAAAGTGCCGTATTTTGATGCATTCAAGTAAGAACTTGGAAATGTGCAAGGATTGAGTTTATATGGTCACCAGCCTGTTAAAGACAACTCGGTTTATAACAATCAGCAAAAGTAAGAGTTTTTAAATTCATCCCATCCTCGATTATGAGAGCTCGGCGTTTACAAGAAGCGTTTAAAAGAAGTCTACTGCCGTTTTGAAATCTGCAGGAGAACGCTTCGAGCAGCCAAAGATGAAAGACATTTGCTAAGGTTTTTTAACGATTGTTCATGATTGTCTGTTCCTGAGACCCCATCATGGCCGAAAATGAAGGAGGCAATTTGTTTTCTTCGGACGCTGTCATCGATAGGTGAGTGGAGCCACAGTTGTTGGGATGTTGGAAACTGCCAGTATTAATATAATATTTGCTTTTTCTCACACAGGTTGAAAAAAGGTGTTTCCGTTTCCGTTTTTGTAACGGTTATCTAACGGAAACCTGAATATCCGCGGACGGAATTGTAACGGGGAACACGTGTATCCGTCATGTTTCAGTTTCTGCGGACACGCTTAAACGCATCCCTTATACTCGCGTTTCCGTCAGGTTTACTCTTGCGGAAACGCTAACTGCCGTCATGTTTCCGCAGCTCGTAAATTCAGAGGATACTCAATTATCCGTTGAGTTTCCGGAACAATGAATGCGGAAACTCAGTTTGACCGGTTTACTTTCTGCAGCCTTCATGTTTCCACAGATTCCGCTTTCGGTGGATTATTCATTGGATTTCCTAAATGTGTTAACTTTCCTTAACCACCCAGTTTCGAATCATATGTTCATTCTATCCGGTATATAAAAAAGTGGACGTTTGTGAGACAACCCTGGACCGTTTCATGCATCCACAATGACCCATTTTCGCTGATACACACAAATCAAGCTGAGTCATATTTAGGTGCATTTTTGGTATTAAAGTTTTTATTAAAATAATTCTATCTCCATTTTCATATAATATGTACATATGTATATTAAATATTTTCACAATAAAAAGAGACTCCTTACAATGTATTCCTATTTTCTATATCCAAAACTGTAACTTTTCAATTTCAATAGGCCACTTCCGAGTTCCAAAAACCCTCACTTTCAAAATGAGGCGAGGTGAGCAACCTTTCTTGTGAAATGAGTTTTATTTGCACGAGAATGAAAAATGATTTCCATATCAAAGGCTGAGCACTTAACCTCGTTTTGAAACAGAGGCCCTGGGAACTCGGAAATGGCCTATTAAATAATCCTTTTAGAATTGACAAAATTCAAAATTTTTTCCTTGAAATGATTAGATTAACGTAATAATTATACAGTCTAACCTCTTCTTATGGACACTTCTATACGACGGACAGTTCGTTTGGTCCCAGAAAAGCCAAAAATCATGCAATCCCTACCTCTGTAATATAGACACCTCTATAAAGCGGACACTTGGTTCTGTCCCTTTAGTGTCCGTATTAAAGAGGTTTGACATTATTATAAGTAACGTGCATTTCCATTCCAAAATAACTCAAAGAAGTAGTTCACGGCAAAATTACTACATAATTTAATAAGAAA